CCAAGAGCAAGCGGAAGACGGTCAGTGACCTGAAGAAAGGAGCGCTGAAGCTGTTTCCCAAGAAAGGTAAGCCTAAAACCCAAAACAGATCAAAAAGAAAAATTACTTCTTGAGTCATCACGTGGCTCTATTGTAAGCCTACATTCAGATGTCTTTGTCTACTTTATGAATCGTTTAAATTATATATAAAAAAAAACTACATGCAGTGTTTAATTTTATTGGTAAAAATAATATAGTTAAGAACAATTTAGTTTGGTGTCATTGTTATGTGAGGTATTTGTGTAGCACAATAATGCAACACACCAACTTCAACCACACATTCAAGTGGACATCTCAGTCTGAGTAAACATGTGAGCTCAAGCCAGCTCAGACAGGCTGTGTTAACAGATATGACCACAATTACAAACACGTTTCCTGTGTACTGTGTTGCTGTTTCAGTAAGTCGCACAAACTGTGTTGTTGAGGTTTTGTTTTTGTCTCCAGTTAATATTTTTATTACAGTTGAATTAAATGTTTTTCATACTTAGTTTAGTTTTAATTGAGCAGTGGCCAAAGTCATGTGCTGTCTGAGTGCAACTTAAAAATAACAATCTTCAGTGATGTTCAGGAAACATGATATAATTATTTGTGACATCTTTATATATTTAGTGAGGTTCCTCTCCCTCCTGTGTTGTGTGTGTAGGATATCTTATGGGTGAAGTCCGGCTGATTGTCTCAGGGAAGCCGCTGGACGATGACTCTGCATCTCTGTCTGAATATGGGATCAAACCCTCGTCTGTGGTGCAGATGGTGGCGAAGGTCCACGGTGGCTGATCATCATTGATGCACTCAACTGCATCCACAAGACTCACAGCAGGACTGAAATATGATACACCAAAGGACAAAATCCGTCATCTTTAACTGTTTCAAGACTTGTCCCATACCTGCTTAGAGTTCAGCACTAATTAATTATCATGAGCTGTAAATGATGAATAATTAGGATGTAATAATGTATTTTGTGTTTATTTTGTGCTTGTGTTTATTTCCCTGCTAAGCTGTGTAACTTGCTATTTGTTGGTATATCAAAAATAACTATGAATGTATATAATTTTTCCCAAGAAAGTCATATTGAGATATTTTTCCATCTTATTCAATAATAAAAGTTTTTTTTTTCTTTTTTTACAGTCTGTGTTCTGAAAACTAATCTCAGTAGTCCATGCTACAGATTCCACACTGCTACACGCAGGCATTAAAAATCTGTTTGTCTCTAATAGGCACCACCTATCACTGCTCTAATTCACATACCTGATATACAGAGTAAAAACAAAAATAAATATGAAGAAGAGCTGGCTGGTGGCTAAAGGTGAAAATGCAAACCGTGGGGTATATTCAGTCTGCTTGGGATCGGAACAGCATCCAGCTACAGCTCAGGACCGCTTCCTCATCAGTCTCTGCCATGACACCCAGCCACAGTTTCCTTTTGGACTGTTGGGTGCTGCCTTTAGATTGCAGTTGCCGTTAAGCAATATTATTACCAC